CCACTTTATTTTCCTACAGCTGGGAGCCTCCAGCAGACTCCTCACCACTCATCAGGCACTGACCCAGGGAGAACCCAGCCCGTCCTCTCTACACAGTGCAGGGTGTGTGGACATCCAGCATGGCTGCTGTGGGACGCCACAAACGGCCAGCCCAGGGCGTCTCAGCCTTCTCGGCTCTGCTCTTCTCTGTTGAGCCACTGGAGAAGGCCACGATATTTCCTTCTGGGTCAGCACAAAAGAATAGCCTAGAATGGCCATTTCTTGGCTAACAGTGTTCCCGTGCTGATCTCTCAGGCTGTACTGCCACTGAGGGATTAATGAAAAATGCTTCCCTTCCTCCCCCCCAGAATGCCCTGTCCCGTCTTGCGGTTGACTTACAACATTTCAACTCCCGCCTCTTCCTTTCTCACCATCTCTTCTTCATGCTTAAACAGACTGCAGATTTGCAAAGGAAATGATTAAGCAAATCCAGCGATCTTGGCCCAGGGACCTGATTTTTCAAGGTTCTAGTTTTTGAGAGCTGAAGAAATCTTTTCGTTGAAGGATTTGCATGAGTTTTTTAGCCTTAGTCAGGGCTGGGGCATAATTTCCTGTTTTTGTATTCTCAAAACTGCTAAGCTACTTGTGAACAACTGGCCAGCCAAGATAGGGAGGGGGTGGGGGATGCGGGCAGAGGGCTGTGAGCCAAGGAGGGAGGAGAAAAGCTGTCCTGCTCAGGGCTGGCAGAACCTCTGTGAAAGTGACTTTTTTTTTTAGGGCAATGAAGTAGGGACTCAGGCAGCAGATTCTAAATAGACATTGAAGGTGGGGGCATAGTGATAAAGAGGAGAAACAAATTCTAGAAGGAATTTTAATGGGCTGACCCTCAAAGAACAGTGGAATCCCAAAATGTTTCCAGAAGCACCGACATTTATTAGGTATTTACTGCATGCCGGGCACAGTGCTAACTGCTTTGTGTGGAGTGCGTCATTAAATCCCCATAGCAACTCAATGGAGTGGATTTCATTGTCATCTTCATTTTATGGATGAAAAGTGGAGTTTGAAGAAGTTAAAACTTGCTCAAGACCACATGGTTAGCAAGTAGCAGAAGTGGGATTTCAACCAAGGCCCATTTGCACCCTGAGCCTGTGTTCCGTTCCTAACCACAGCTCTGCTCTGAAGATAAGCAAGGTGCCAGGGATGTGCCGTGACCAAAACCCCATACACGTTCATTTACTCAGCCCGGGGTGGGAGGTGGGACCTCAACCAGGAACATTCCCTGAGCTTTCCTCTCTCGGTGCAGAGCCTCAAACTGGGGTGGGTGTTTGCTTGTTTGTTCGTTCTTGGATCCTCTGTGCAAACTTCTCTCCAAACTGCGTCTCTCGGGCTCCATGGCCAGCAGGCTTTGGGGTTGGGTCAGCCAGCAGGAAACACTGATGCTGAGATAGCTTCCCTGTCCCTCCTACCAACAGAAAGGCAACGCATCCAGGGAGCCCCCCAGGTCCCAGCTACCCCTGTGCAACCTCCTTTCCACTGGCCTGGCTGTCTCCTTCCCCCAGGGCGCTCAGGATCCCCAGCTCCTGTGACATCGAGCCATGCTGTCATAGCTTCCTTCTGGCTCTCCTTTCTGGGAGCCCCATGCTTGTCTTTGAACTCCTTCTGCACCTTGGAAATGAGTGACAATTTCCATATCCCTCATCCAGCTACTTGCAGGGGCTGGGTTTCCTGGCGAAGACCCTAAGTGAGAGGCAGACTCCGAGGTGGTCTTTTGGGTGCAGGTGGCTTGTGTGGGAGGTGATCCCAGGAAGCACAAGTGGGGGGAGAGGGGTGTTCATAAGTTGGTTGCTAATGTGGGCAGCTGTGGGTCAGTCTTGCTGAGGACCCAGGAGGGAACATGGAGACACCCCACCATTGTCCCATTGAGAGATGGGGAAGCCGAGATGTTTCTTTTCCATCTCTGATCCCTCATTAGTTGAGGTTTGTCCCTGGGGACACAACATTCCAGGTATTTCCAGAATGCCCCGCTGGTGGATTGCACACGCTCCCCCAGCCCCTGGGGAAAACCTGCTGAGAAGCAGGGAAAGAGCAAGGCCTTTGACGCGGGGAGCTGTCGGTGCTGAAAGAGATGGGGGAGGCCATCTGCAGAACCTTCTGCCGTGGCGACCTGGCTCAGAATGTAAGTAGGCACAACCAAGAAAAGCCAAGGGCAGACCCAGAAGCTTCACTTTACTTTAGAATGGGATGAACATGGGGCAAATCAAACATTCTTCTTTACTCCCCTCCACCCCTCCCTCCCTCCCTCCCTTCCTTTTCTTTCTGTATGAGCCAGTCAGCCAACTGGCTATCAACACGAGCAGAGACTGGATAAAGTTTAGGGGTGCTCTGACGACCTCGAGCCATGAAGGAGTAGCCACGTGCTCTGTGTCGGCTGTTGTCCTCTGCACCCTTCTCAGTGATGCCAGCGGAGGGAGCTCTTACCGCCTACCAGGCAATGTGCTTGCGTGCACCAAGGCCACTGTCTCCCTCACGCTTCTTAGCAGCTCTCTAAGTGCCACCATCATTCCCATTCGTTAAAGGACCAGACTAAGGCTCCACAAAGGCAGGTGATTTGCTCAAGATCTCACAGCCTCGGATCACAGGCGTGGGTCAGCTGGGTGGATGGTGGGGCTAGGTTCCAAATTTACACTTGTGACGCTCTGAAATGACCATTGAAGTGTTCTTTCAAGGGGGCTGAACTGGAATAAATGGTTCTAAGCCAGCCTCCACACTTAAACATGAGTTTGGTCCAAAGGGGCCTGGTATGCAATGAACTACAACCTAGCTTGATGTGTGAGCTGGTAGTAGTCCAAACGAAATCTTCTGTAGCTAAGCAACTGAGCATCAACCAATAATAGTAGCTGACCCCTCGACCAATCACAGCAGTGACCCCTCAACCAACACCAGGCTGAAGACTGCCAAATTATGCTCAAATAAGGCAAACCAGACTACACAACTCATTTCCTGTCATTCTGGTATAAGAGTGGCTCCCGGCTCTGTAAGAACAGGCATCAGGAGCCATCTTGGGTCTAGGGTGCTGACTAGTTCTAGAATCTTTTTCTTGCTTAAGCAATCTTTGCTAAGCTAAACCTGTCTCAGTTTTGTTTTTAAACATTAGCCAAAGCCATTAGAGACTGTATCTAGGCTGTTGGTTATACTTTTAAAGAAATTTCAAAAGTCAACGATGGCGTTCTGTGGTTATCTAGCAGATAGCTGAGGGCACTCAATGAGTTGTCATTGACTTGAGTTTGTATCAGATCCCACCAGCAGCCCAATGCAAACCTGTGTGACTCCCCAGCTGGAGTCTCCTCCATGGCTCCCCATTGCCCTAGGAAGAGGGCTTCAACCTCCCTCAACGACTCCTTGCTACCTGTCCTGGGTGATCCGGTCTGTGATGTCTCCCTGCCTCCTCCCTCTTACCTGTCCTACCTGCAGCCGTGCTGAAGCACTTCCCTGTGTCCCTGTAGGCTCTCTGCTTTTGCACTTGCGGCTCCGCTGGGAGCCCCTGGGCCAGCCCTGCTTCTTTCTTTGTGAGTTCGCTCAACTGGCGCCTCCTCAAATGCATAGCCAGTCTCCACCCACTACGATCACGTGGCTGTGCCTTCCTCTGTCTCCCACAGCATCTTGCGGCTTGCCTCTCTTGCTTCGTGTTGTTGTCTTCCGCCTGCCTGTCTCTCCCACTAACAGGAAGGCAGTGCCTTTAAGAGCTTAGGTTGGGTTTCAGCCTTGAGTCTGCCATGTGTTTCCATGGGCAAAGTCGCTTTTTGTCTCCGAGTTTTAGCATCTTCATCTGTAAGATGGGCAGTGTACAAACCATTCATGTGGCACACGATACCTGTGTACAGTAGGTCCAATGTTAGCTTTTATTATCTATGCATCATGAAGGCTGGTCTTCGCACCAAACACTCCGAGAAGTGGTAGCTTTGCGTAGGCCATTGGTTTCCAAATTTTGTCCTGGGTCAGAACCCCCTGGAAGGCTTGTTCAAACATGACTGGCTCCCACTGCACTAGTCTTTGATCCAAGGGACTGCAGCTGGAGAATTTTTAATCCTGACAAATTCTTGGTGATGCTGATGCTTAGGGTCCTGTGAACTACTTTAAGAGCCACTGGGCTGATCACCTGCCAACTGACTGGCACCAGTTTTAGGAACAGGGCAGGGCAGAGTCTCAGAGCATCAGAGCCAGGCTGTCACACAGCACCTGCCACAAGTAAAGATAAACTTCCTTGTCATTATTAGCCAGAAGAGTCTCTGAGAATCAAATCCAGTGCTGTTACATAGCTCCTAATGTATGCCTCTCACTTTTATCACCCCATTTGAGCATGGGATTTTTGGCTACTTGGTGCTAACAGTGGCCGATGGTACAATGGCTCTCATTGGCTAGGTGGCTCTTATGTGGCACCACTTCACCATCTGGGATGGACCATCTCACTCCCTGCTCACAGCAGTCCCACGGGGAGGTACTGTCATGAGCCCACTGCTGATGAAGATGCTGAGAGCTGAAGTCCCCTGCCCTGGAGTTGGGTGTGGAGAAAGTGACAGGCTGATCCGGCCACTTTGTGGAGCATAATGGGCCACTCAGGATGACTTTAAATGCTGGACAATCACACATCCTGCCTTAAGCTTTTCCCAAGATGGAGTAGAGGAGGATGGGAAAACCAACCAACCGACCTTATCTTGGTTCGGACGGCTAGGAATCATAGAAGGCAACTGACCTGCTTGGTTTGGCTTTCTCATTCTAGTTCTTTAAACTTGACGACGGCTTTCTAGAATTGATCAACACACACACTCTCACCCTGCTCTGGCCCAATTTCCTGATTACGCAACCAGGGAAAAAGCCTGGACAGAGACTGCAGAACCCCAGGTCCTGGAGCGCCCCCATGTGGTTGATTGAGCTAAAAACGCACTCTAGCGGGAGTCACTCACCTAAGGAATGAGCGCCTTCAACAGCAATCATTGCAGGCAGCTGGGGGCCATTTTGTCAAGGAGTGCTCATTTGAAAAACAAGGAGAACAAAAACCCCAGAGAGGTGCCTGCCAGCTTCCCTTCCCCCTTGATGAAATGCAACAAAGGGAGCAGCTAAATGCGGTCGGGGACACACAACTTTAAATTAGGTGATGTGTTCAGAAAGCATTTTATAAACTGTAAACTTTGATCACGCAAGACCTGATTGCTGTTATCCTGGCTTCCGTGAAATGGCACGGACTTCTGCCTCCACTCTGGTGCATTAAAGGGCCAGGAGACGGAGCGGCCACAGTAACTGGCGCTTTGGACGGAGGTGACAGCAACTAAAGAGTTAAACTTCCCAGAAAGCTAATTTATGCAGAGGACTGGACCCTGCCCAGCTAAGGATCTGAATTACAAATGCACAGAATTTGCTGCTCGGTCAGTTATTTCTTTTCTTCCTAATGGAGCCCGTCATTTGCAGGAGGGCCGGCCACTTCATTTCCACTGATGGAGTGAACAAAGTCGCGACCACAGAGGAGCCTAATTCTACTCACCATTCCAACTTGCCCTTTAAGGAGGGGCGCTGAGAGGGTGGGTGCCGCCAGCCCCCGGTATCCACCATGTGGGTAAGTTAATAATTGGAGCCATTTCCCTCTCTGGGAGGCAGTAAGCGGAGCTGACTTTGTGTTTTAAGGCCTCAGATCGGCCTGGGACTACTGGACAGAAGTACCGGCAGGGATCCAGGTTGGGGGAACCTGCCTCCTTCCAGGCTCCTTGGGAAGGAGCCAGCGGGACACGTGCTGGTCTCTTGGAATCTAATTTAATGGGACCCTAGTGTGCATTTGGACTATTTGCAAACAAACAGAGAGAGAGAGAGAAGACGGGGGGGGGGGGGGGGGGGGGGGGAGGTTAAATCCCTGATCATTTGTTTAAAGAGCAAGGAGGTACAAACAAAAACACAAGCACTTCCCTTCCTCTTTTCCGTGCCTGTGGCATCTCCAGGTCCCCAGGATGATGAATTCGAGAGGGGAGCGACTGCTCTTTTGAATGAATTCTTTAACAGACATCAGTCAGAAAGTCACGTCAGCTGCAACTGGAGCCAGAGCTGTGTGTGTGTGTGTGTGTGTGTGTGTGTGTGCACGTGCTGCATACGTGAGGACAGCCATGCCAGCTCAATAGCTCCGTTCTTGGAAAGGCCACTTCTTCTTGGCGAGGGAGAGGATAGACTTCCCTGTGCGCCTAAAAATAGATAAATACGGAAATAAATAGTAAGGCTGACACAGGCAGCCCGGCGCCCGGCCTGGCTCTGCCTTGCTCTTCCCTGTGCCCCGCTGTGTGCCCCTTTCTGTGCCCAGGGCCGTGTGCAGACTCCTTCCCCACCCCGGAGGAGCTCCGTGCCCTGAGTCTGGGTCCCAAGGGCTCTCCAGCCCTCACCTGGGAGTTTTTCTTTTTTCACTAGTCCAGCAAGAAACCTGGAGAGGAGCATTTACCGTAAATGTCTCAGGGACAGGCTCTGAACAACACACACAGACACATACACACACACACACACGGACACACAAAGCACCAAAGTGGCCTTGTAAATTGCTTCTGAAGCTATACCTGGAATTAGAGTTTTTTGAGTTCTCTCTGGCTTACATTTTCTTGCCTTTTTTTAAAAAAAGCAATTTTATTACAAGGTTGTTCTCTTCTGTGGCCCGAGGAGGATGGGAGACCAGGACTGGAGCTGTGGGTGGGCTTTGTGGAGCACACACACGCGCCTGCAAAAAGCCACTGCCCAGTGAAGTGAGAGTGGCAAATGACACTACTGCCTCCCTCTGTGGAGGCTCTGGGGGCACTGGGGACAAAGGAGCTGGCAGCTGCATGGTCTTCCTGCACCACAGGAAAGTCACCTCCCCTAGGTTTGTTCTTGTGCTGTGCCGAGGGCAGGGAGGGGCACGGGCACACAGCTTGTCTCCAGGGCTGCAGAAGGGGCCACGTGTCTGCATCTGAAAGCTGGGGTGCGGCCCGTCCAAGTGGGGAGCCAGCAGCCTCCAGCAGCCCCCTACTCTGGATTTTTGGGGATTCTGCATCTTACCGAGCGCATTTTCTTTTTAGAAATCACGTATTTGTGAGAGAGAAGGAGAGACAGAGCTCCCGTCTGTTGCTTCACTCCTCAAAGGGCTGCAGCACCTGGGGCTGGGCTGGCCTGAAGCTGGGAGCTGGAGCCAGAGTTCAACCCAGGCTCCAGCCTGGCCATCACCACTGCCTCCCAGGACCTGCATCGGCAGGAAGCGGGGGTCAGGAGCCAGAGGCGCCCATCTAACCCAGGCAGTCTGACGTGGCACGCAGGCGTGTCAATGCCAGGCCAAACACCTGTTCTCTGGCACACATTTCCCGAAGGCCTTTTTGCCAGAGCTGGGGTCTAATTTGCCTAAGGAACGGACAGGTCTCTATCCAGCTCCATATTGGGAGAGAACATGCAGTGTTGATTTCTACCAGGGGATGCAGCCGTGTGAGCCAGTGTGCATGTGTCAGTACTAGTTCCATGTGCAGTGTGTGTGTGCACATGTATTTATCCATTCTGACACACATGTATGTATGCACACATGTGCATGTAAGATGTATCTGAATCTGCAGGCAGGGGACACTGCCCATGCAGTCACCCGCCAGCTGCTTGGGGATCCTGGCTTCTCAGTGCAGCGGGAGCAGCTTCGTGGCCCTACCACCTCCCAGGGCAGCCCCTGCTCACCTACCGGATACAAAGGCTCAGCACCTTGCCTGGAGGTTGGACCAACTGTGTGTAATTCATGTTCCGGCTGAACCTGCTCCTTGCCCAACTCCTCCTCAGCCCCTGTACTGTCCCCTCCCTCTTCCCCGGGAACCCACTGTCAGTGTGTCACACGCATCTGAAACCTTGTCTCGGTTCAGCACTTCTCTTACGCATCATGAGTGGACATGCAGAGATACATGTGTGGACACACGTGTGTGTATGTGTGTGAGTGTGTGCACACATTTACAAGGAAATCCAGAGGGGTTTGCAAGGGGATTATTTTCCGAAGAAGACAAAGGAGGAAGCACACTGACTGCACACCATCTCACACAGAGCTGGAGAGACCTGCTTCAAAAGTTGAACATTAACAGATACTTTAGAAGTAGATACATCTTTTATTAAATCAGAAACAGAAAGGTGCAGTATACATGCCTGTCAGTAGTCAATTGTTCGCTACTTTGAATTACATTTTAATAGACTCACGGTCTTATTTCTTTCTCTGTAAAGTATTAAAAAAAACTCAGGTATTTGAATAATCTTCTGTAAATTTTTATTAACTGGGGTTAGGGAGAGGTTTTATCAGAGCACATCTTGGGAACATTAGGAAGTTACAGACAGACCTGAGATAAGTGTCAGACAGAACAGAGAAGCCAGTCCCTCAGCCTTGAGGAGAGGACCAATCTGTGTTAGGCTAAAGGAGGCAGGATTAAAGGAGCCCCTGGCGCCCCCTGGTGGTAAACTTGCAACTTCCTTTATTTGTTGAAGCTGTCACACTGGTCCTTGTCCCTGAGCCTCTTAAGCAATTGTTTTTCCAATCGTCTTAAGCCCTCTCCATTTCTCTCTGTTCAGCAACTTTCAGAGACCCTGTTAGAAAAAAGCCATTCTTACTCATTGCTTCTTCATAGCCACACATTCCATTCCCGGAAATTGGCGACTGCCCGATGCAGAGCCTGTGTTCGCTGTCCTGGAAACGTGAACTCAGACAAATGGGTTCTGGCCTCCCCTCCCCAGGCTGAGGGTGCGAGTGTGCGTCCAGCACAGAACTCCATTCCTTCTCACTGGTGTATTTCTTCCGTCACTTCACTCGCCTCCACCATTTATCAAACTGAACCCAAACGCATGCCAACCCCCTCCTCAACCCTTCTGACCTGACTAGTCCACCTGCTAAAACACCTCGACTGTTGCTTGCCAGAAAGACTGGACCCGAGACAAAAACCGTGCCCCACAACATACAATCACAGCCCGGGCTGTCTCTGTAGGCAGGATTTCACCGGACGGGCATCCGAAGGAAAGCTATGTACATGGAGTCTGTCTGGGGAGGAGATGGGGGATGAGAGAACCCGGAGGGCACTGTGGAGATTTGATTACTTGGATTTGCCGACGGGGCCGATGGACACAGGGTCTGTTTGCACTTGAGCGTCCGACATCCGCTTGGGTCCCTGGAGAAAGACATAAAGACGTGGGAGCCATTGATCGGCAGTCATGGTGTGCTCAGTGGGTGCTAAGCAAACACATCTCATTCGCGAACGCGGGATGAAGGGTGGCCTCCTACCAGAGATCCTGGTTCAATGCCCAGGTACATCACTTTCTAGCTTTGTGAAATCTCCGACAAGTGACTTAACTCTGTGCTTCGGTTTCTTTAAGAAGGGAACGAAGACTCATCTCAGGGAGTTGCTCCTAAGATGCAGTGAGCTCACCTCCCCCACCCGGGGTTTCCACATCCCCACGGTTCTAGCTCACCTTAGCCATTGCCTCCCCGGACCACAGTCTGGTCGTATCGCCCTGTCTTCTTTTCTTATAAACCCAGCACTCTCTGCAGTGGTCTGACTGTCTGATCTAACATCTGTCTCCACGAGCACAAAAGCTCTGTGGTTCGGCACCTGTGCCCTCGGGTGTTCCAGAGCCTGGCACAGGAGAGGCGCCTTGGTATTGACGGAATGGGTGAGTGGGCACGAGTGTTGTTAATTCAACTGTTCTTTTACCTTTGCTGTCAAGTGTAACCTACAAAGACTGACACTAACCCTTTCTGCACGTGGTCTAGGAGCGGAGGCTGACACACACGCGCACGCTATCACCTCCCAACTCAGGACCTTGTATGGCCCCTTTGTGGTTAAGACCGCCCCACTCGCAGACCCTGGAACCACCGGTGCCTTCTCTGTCCCTGAGTTTGGTCTTTCCCAGGACGCTGGATCGTGGGATCAGGGTGAAGAGCCTCTCAGCCTTCTTTCAGGCAGCACGTGGATCTGAGATTCGCCCCCGTTACTACATACATCAGAGGTACTAGCGAGGGCCCCAACTTAGAGGACAGGGTCCTGGAGGGTTACAGAGTACAGGACAGGACAGTAGGATATACCATAGTGTCATGTGTACAGTACAGAGAGCATACGGACAGTACAGTGTAGCATAGCATAGTATAAGATAGTGTGTATTATGTGGTACAGATGTATGTATAGTATGATGAACGTAACGTACTATAGGACAGTTATATAAGTATATGTAACTTATGTGCAGCATAACTTATATAGTGTAGTGCACCCACATGCGGAGTATCGTACAGGAAAGGTACTATAGTAGGGCACAGGATATAAAGTACAGTACAGTATAATACATAAGGCAGGCTACTACCATGTACTGTCATAAAATACATACAATATGATGCTTAGTGTTGCATTCTATACTATACATTTTATGGTGTAGTATGTTGTCTAGTATGCATGGTCTTCTATGCATAGTAAATACAGTAGTAACTGCAGCACAGTACGTATGGATAGATACAGGGTGTATGTGGGGTGTGTATAATAGTATCTATGGGGCCGGCACTGTGGCACAGTAGGTTAATCCTTCACCTGTGGAGCCAGCTTCCTATATGGGCACTGGTTCTAGTCCCAGCTACTCCACTTCCAATCCAGCTCTCTGCTATGGCCTGGGAAAGCAGTAGAAGATGACCCAAGTGCTTGGGCCAGTGGGAAACCTGGAAGAAGTTCCTGACTCCTGGCTTCGGATTGGCTCAACTCCGGCATTTGCAGCCATTTGGGGAGGGGATGGAAGTCCTTTCTCTCTGTCTCTCCCTCTCACTGTCTGTAACCTTACCTCTCAAATAAATAAATAAAAATCTTTTAAAAATCAGTATCTATGGTATTTGTCTACAGTATAATATCTCTAGTGCAGTGCATTGCAGCATATGTAGCATGGGACAATATAGGTTCACATTAGTATACACTGCATTGTGTAATAGAATAGAACGTAATTTAACACTGGAGTCAGATTCCTGGGGTTTGAATCCCAGATCTGCCCTCCCTCGCTGTGTGACTTCAGTCAAGTGCTTGACTCTATGCACCTTAAGTGCTGAACACGAGATGCTGATTCACATAAAGTGCCGGGGAGAGGGTCGGTCCCCTCGTGGGCTGCAGGAGAGAGCCACTGCTACTCCTTTCAGTGTGGTGGCTGGGTTCACTCAACAGCACGTGCTGAGCATCTGCTCTGCAGAACACGCGGCGTGGGTCTTCAGGGGTCTAAAGAAGACAGGACCCCCCCACCACAGGCTACTGAAACCTAGTCTCAAGGGGCCGGCCACACGGTGTGAGGACTGCTGAGTCATTCCAGGCTTCGTGGGTGCCCTCCTCCCCAGCCCAGGGGGTGTCCAGCCGGCTTGGCCGCCAGCGACAGTGACCCACTGGCCCTCCCGGGGACACAGGAGGAGCCTGAGCTCCAATCGTATTTATGCCCTCGAGGCAGGGCTGAGTCCCCCCCCCCCCTCCCCCCTTCCCTCTCAGCCTCCGGCCTGGGCTGGCGACATGATAATCTCACCACAGTTGCTCTTTCTGGACCTGTGAGAACTGCCATTTTCTTGCCTCATCTTCCTGCTTAGCCTGGCACGTGACTGCTGTTAGCCTCCTTGCTCTGATGCCTGAAACTCAGAAGTGACTTGCCCAGGGTCACACAGCCACGGCCTGGTGGAGCCAGGTGCAAAGCAGGAACAAGCTGCTTCTGGTTTCTGGTTCTGCCCCAGGCTGGCCCAGAGGGAAGGTGCGTCCTGCCTGCCCCTGCTGTTCCCAGCATGTCTCTGTGCCTCCCCCACCCCAGCCACTCCCTCTATCAAAGCTTAGCTCCGTAGTGCCATCCTTAGGTACTGTGACCTTGGGTCCCTCAGACTAAATACAGCAAACGTGGGCTGCTATTGCCTTATAGATGGACATCATTTCACAAGCAGACTGTCCTATTGCTTTTAAAGTTAAATGATGACATTTAAAAATGAAGTGCTGGGGACTGCGCTGTGGCATAGTAGGTTATGGAGCCGACATCCCATAAGGGTGCCTGTTGAGTCCCGGCTGCTCCACTTCCGATCCAGCTCTTTGTTGTGGCCTGGGAAAGCAGTGGAGGATGGCCCAAGTGCTTGGGCCCCTGCACCCATGTGGAAGACCCAGAGGAAGATCCTGGCTCCTGGCTTCAAATTGGCACAGTTGCAGCCAACTGGGGAGTGAACCAGCAGATGGAAGACCTCTCTCTCTCTCTCTCTGCCTTGGCCTCTCTGAACTCTGCCTTTCAAATAAATAAATAAATAAATCATTTTTTTTAAAGTGCCAGAACACTACTGCCTCCAGCTGGGCAAAAGCCTCTGCCACAAAGCCTAGTGCACAATGAGTGTTGAATTATCGCACTGAAAGTGAAGGTTGTGTGTGTCCTTACCACCGACGCATGCTGAATGCATGTTCAAGCATGGCTTCTACTGGACACATGTCCCGTCCACACCCCTGTGAAGCTGGAGAACCGTGAGTGATGCCAGCGTTAAGCTGGGGACCAACTGCACACGCTCGTCCATGCACATGTGTCTGTGCACACACACACACGATTCTAAACTTTTCCTTCCATAAAAGAAAGCCCTCTGTTCAAAAAGAAAAGAAAATGCGGGCAGGTGTCCGGCCCAGCACTTACAAGGCTGGCTAAGATTTCTGGTCCCACATTGGAGCATCAGGATTTGAACCTTGACTTTGGCTCCTGATTCCTGTCCTGTCAGGCAACCCCGGGGGAACACATCCAGGTGGAGCCTCTGAGGCTCCATCATCATGGCTGCAGATGTCCAGATGAACGCAGGCTTGGGCTTGGGAGCCCTGGACGGAGCCCAGCCTCTGCTGCTGCCTCTGGACCTACTGATGCTTAGGGACGGATACTTCTTTGCTCTGGGGATTGTCGTCCACCTTACAGGACAGTTAGCAACAGGTCTGGCATACAACATCCCCGCAGCACCTACTCAGAGTTGTGACAATGAAAAAAGTTGTCTCTGAACATCACCAGATGTCCCCTGGCACACAAAATAACCCCTGGTTAAGGACCACTGGATCAGGACCATCCCCACCCCCAATCAGGGGTTCAGGGGATGCAGAGATCACCCAAGAATTCCAGAGAAGCGAGCTGTGGCTCTGGGCTCAGAAGCTTTGGGACCAGCCCTCCCCTGAGTGTGCACCACCCCGTGCACCACAACTCTGCAGAGAACTGCGAGGTAGAGAAAACACACAGTCAATTTGGGACTAACTGAGGCAAGTATGATTAGGACACCACCCACCTGCAGGCTGTGAGAACTGAGCCTGGAGACGCAGACCCCAGCTAAACCGCCTGATGGGGATTGGTCCTCACATGCCTTCCTTTTCTGAGGCTATTCTCTTTAGAACTGGAGACAGGCCTGCTCCCCCAGGAGCTGGGAAGAGCAAGGGCACTCCGGGCAAGGACTTCCCCAAACAGCCTCAAGTCTTACTTTTTATCACCACCTCAAGGGCAGGTCCCACACGAATTCGAGGACACAGAGATGAGGCAGAAAACGATGGTTCTCACAAATCTCTACGGCTGGGACTGAGATTCTGAATTTCTTTATTTTTTCTTTTTAATTTTTTTGACAGGCAGAGTGGACAGTGAAAGAGAGACAGAGAGAAAGGTCTTCCTTTGCCATTGGTTCACCCTCCAATGGCTGCCGCGGCTGGTGTGCTGCGGCCGGCGCACCACGCTGATCCGATGGCAGGAGCCAGGTGCTTCTCCTGGTCTCCCATGGGGTGCAGGGCCCAAGCACCTGGGCCATCCTCCACTGCACTCCCTGGCCACAGCAGAGAGCTGGCCTGGAAGAGGGGCAACCGGGACAGAATCTGGTGCCCCGACCGGGACTAGAACCCGGTGTGCCGGCGCTGCAGGCAGAAGATTAGCCTAGTGAGCCGTGGCGCCGGCCGAGATTCTGGATTTCTAACAAGCTCCACTGGGATGCTGTTCTGAGGCCCACTGCTGGGGCAGAGGGTCTGTGGACTCATCTACCTCCATGTTGGAGGCCACAGGTGTCCACAGGTATCCACAGGACAGAGTGGTTCTGAAAGTAAGTGGGTTGAGGTCAGCTCGCTTCGTGCTGCCACAAGGTTGACCCCAGTTCTCTGCTGGAGTCAGTGGTCCCTGGTTGCCCCTACCTCTAGCCACATCCCCATGGACCTGGCTAAGACCTCCCTCCTTCTTCTCTGACTTGGTGCAGTATCACTGTGTCAGATTTTCATCGCTCTGACAAATAGCCGAGAGGAGCGACTTGTAAAGGAAGAAGGTTTATTTGGGGTCACAAGTTTGGATCACAGCCCAGGACTGAGAGGCGTTCTTGGTCTGGTGTCCAACGAGGACAGTGGGTGATGGAATGGGTTTAGAGGGAGGAGCACGTGGTGAGCCAGGAAGCAGAGAGGAAACAGCTGGGTCTGCCTCAGGCTTACAGAGCCAGACCTCCTGAGTACTACCTTTCCAGGGCCCAGGGACCTCAGTGACCTCAGCACCTCCCACTAGGCCCACCCTAGACACTATCATTGGATCAAGTTTCCACCTCTCCCAATAGTGGCACCCTGGGCCAAGCCTTTAACACCTGGGCCTTTGGGGGACACTGAAACCAATGCCCTGACTACAGGAATCCCCTGCTTATAATCCGAGTAATGAGCCTACGGACCCCCAGGTTTGCAGAACTGACATTATTCCAGGGGTCATCAAATGCCTACTCATGCCATATTCCACTCCATCCACCCAAGACTCACTCACTTTTTTCTTTCGACAAGTACCCCAGGGTGTCTTGTATGGGAGGACAACACGTCGGTCACTGTCCTCCCTAAGCCAATGGTGTGAGAGGAGATCAGGAAGAGCCAGACAAAACACGAAGAAAGCAGGCAAAGGTCACATGGCCTCCTCTCACAGGGGACGGGTCCCTGGAGCAGCTCTTGCCCAGGGATGACTGCATCCCCCAGGGCCATCGCGCACTGTCTCCCCATCCATCCCAGCAGACTGAACACCAACCCCAGGCTTCCCACCATCCCACCCTTGCACCTGTTGCTCCCACTGTCTGCCTTCAGACCTCCCCTGCAGCCAAAGGGGAGGCCCCACTGACCTGTAATCTCCTCTGACCCTGCCTTCCAAACCGCAGACCTGACCACGGCCTCACAGCCTCCCCTGCATGACTCCCTTCTCCCCTCCTGGCTCCTCCCACATGCAGTGCCTGGCGCCCCTATCCATTCTGCACCTGATGCTGGTCCTGGAACACCAGTGGCTGCGTCCACCTTGCTTCCTGTGCCCAGCACAGCGCCTGGCATGGAGTGGGAGCACAATGAATATCTGCCAAATGTTCAGCCAGCTCCTATCCAACCGTCCCCTTTGTCTGACAGCTCAGAACACAGCAGCAAAAATCCACTTACCAGGCCTTTGAAGAAGCCTCCAAGGGACTGCTGCCGCTTCTCAGGTCTCCTCTGGGCCCTGTCCCCATTCTGCAGCGAGTTTCCATCCACCACGGCCTGCTCTGCGCACTGGGCGGCTGCTGCGGCTTCCTGCTTGCTATTCTTCCGCTTGCTCATCTCGGCAGCTGACTTCTTGTCCTTCGAGGAGCCCTCTTTGCCCTTCGGGGCTGCTCCCGCGGGTTCCGGCTCTGGTGGCGTGATGGCCTTCTCCGTGGAGTTGGAGGTCTACAGCAATGTCAAGCACAGTGCATAATTAGTGGCTGCAAGTCACCTCTCCATACAGGGGAGTAACTCCGTTACAACAGAGGCATTCTAATGCTGGATGGTATTGATACTCTCATGAGTCTAGGGTGGCATGAAAAAATAAGAACAGTGTGCAAACGTATAATGGTGCAAGGTGACAGCAGTGGACATTCACTTATGTATCCAATAATCCATTCATTAACTCTATGCTTTGCCAGCAGGCATTATTTTCCCCTTCTGGTACCAGAACTTGGATCATCCTTGGGAAACCATTCCTCCCCCCCCCCCCCCATCTTATCCATGCACAAGGTCAAGTGACTCAGGCTCAGCCAATCAGAGCATTGCATATGACTGCTACAGCATAGCTGACCACAGAAGAGAACTGAACTAGTTTTTAGAGCTTTACTAAGATAATCAAGAGAGAGGATTGCTTCCTTTTCACAGGGCTTGAAGCTTCACTGGACGTGGAAGTCTGGAGCTTCTAGAAGCACCACTATTTCCAGGGAAAATCTTCCTGAAAAGGAAGCCAATACAGAAGCAAGCAGAACTGAGAGTCGAGGAGAAGGGGAAAGGGAGCAGGTACGGAGGACCTCATGTGTGACTCCTGGACTTGGTTCTTCCTGAAGCCCATGTATGGGCCTTAAGAGGGCTTCTCTTACTTGCACCCTCACATGTTTTTTTTTTTTTTTTAATTGGGGATGCCAATTTTTTCCTTCATGATCACATCTACATTAATTTTGGGGTGTAAAACTGATTTTTCTGCTCTATGAAATGGCAGTTTAAAAAAAAGTGATTGTGCTTTATGTTTAGTTTTGAATATACATCTTCTGTGCCAAAAATGAGAGTGTACAATTCTCCCTGGTTATTACAGTTTGGAGGATGAAGCTGTCAAGTACAAAATTCTGGAAGTTGCTGGGTGAATTACAGATAACCAAAAAACAATTTGTACAGAAGTAGAAATTCTTTTCTCGTACTTTCTCGTAGGTGCCTGTAGGAGGGACAGAGATCACATAGAAACAAAAATGAGGTTGGGAGTAAGACAGACCACGTGAAGACCTTCTTTCCAGCTGTGAAAACTGCACAAGTCCAAAGCACCATTTCTCCAGTGCAAGAAAACACCAGTTCAAGCAGTGCTGACTGTGGTGCTGGGAGACAATCTGGAGTAGGGGGCTGCGGGCATCAAGTGTCACACGCTCCACTCAAAGGGCCCCCAGTGAGAGGTATCGCGTAGACTCAGCACCCCAGTGCTGTCACATCTTCTTCTGTTTTCAGTGGAGCCTTTAAATGTTTGAAATGCAAATACGTCAACTTTTAAGCATCAGCTTCAAAAGCTCAGGACAAACACTGGGGACACAACCACTCCTGGGAGCCGTGCTGGATCCACCGAACACGTTCATAACTTCTGATTCATAAACTCACGTACTGTCCCCAAGTCAAAAGTTCAGTGACAGAGGTGCAGTTGTGACTGAGAAAGCAGCAAGAAAAGGAAAAGTGTCATTCTGCATCAGTGAATCAAACACACCTCTTAGCAGTAAGTGGCGAGACAGACGGGGCTGCCCTCTCCCACCGGTTTCTGCAGGCTGCAGCTCTTCACGGTACAAGTCCCCAGGAAGGGGCATCAGACGTCCAGCGTGCAGCCCAGCCGCCAAAGCTGCAGCAAATGCTGACACCAGATGTCCAAGCACCCTCGACTGCCCAAAGCAGATATGGGCCTTAGAAGGAAAACAGGGGTGCTGGCGGCTGTGGCACAGTGGGTTAAGCCACCGCCTGCAATGCTAGCATCCCACATGGGTGCCAGTTTGAGTCCTAGCTGCCCTGCTTCCAATCCAGCTCCCTGCTAGTGCACTTGGGAAGGCTGTGTATTTGGGCCCCTGCCACCCACGTGAGAGACTGAAATGGAGTTTCTGGCTCCTTGCCTGGATCAGCCCTGGCCTCTGTGGCCATTTGGGAGTGAACCAGCAGATGGAGGATCTTTCTCTTTGTAACTCTGCCTTTCAAATAAATAACATCTTGAAAAAAAAAAAGATCAAAACAGAAACACCCACCACGATGCCCTTCGGGAAGTCAGAAAACAGTAACTCTGGCTCAGACACATTCACAGAGAAAGGGAGAGACAGAAATAAAGTTCTTCTACCCACTGGTTCACTCTCCAAACCAATCCAAAGCCAGGAGCCAGGAGCTTCTTCCAGGTCTCCCATGCGGGTGCAGGGGCCCAAGCACATGGGCCTTCTTCTACTGCTTTCCCAGGCCACAGCAGAGAGCTGGATTGGAAGAGGAGCAGCCGGGACTAGACTGGCACCCATATGGGATGCCGGCACCGCAGGCAGAGGCTTAGCCTACTACATCACAGCACTGGCTCCTGTGCAGAAAATCTTAAGATCTTTTGTCTGGAGTCAGAGGGACCTGGTTTAGTTCTAGTTCCATCCTTTCCTTGCTGTGTGACCTGGAACACATGGTTTGATCTCTCAGTTTCCTCATCTGTATGGGAGTGAGCAAAAGATATGGAACTGCATAGTGTGGCTAAGACTAGAAAGCCAACTTAGCCCAGAGTCTGGCCCTGGTGGAATGCAAGCAGTGAAAAGCAGTTTTCCTGGTTGAAACAGTAAACTGATGACTATGGAAAGAGAAATACCACAAACTCTTTGCAGGCTTTGCCATCCATGTGTATGTGTGATAGGAGTTGATCAACAGTATCAGATGGTAACATTCCATCAGCTGCATAGGTAACAAGGGGTGACCACCACAGACTGAACTGTGCCACCCCAAACTCCTATCTGAACATCCATCCACTAATGGTGGCACTTGGAGTAAGGAAGCTATGAGGTAATAAGGGTGGGGACCTGATCAACGGGATTGGCTAACGTCCTTGGAGTAAGAGGCATCAGAGGGCACATGTTCGCTTTCCCTCTCTGTGCCTTGTGGGGGCACAGCAAGAAGCTGCCATCTGCAATCCAGAATGGGAGCCCTCACCAGAAACTGAACCTTGCTGGCACTTTATCTTGGCTTTCCCAATCTCTAAAACTGCGAGAAATGAATTTCTGTTGTTCAAGCTGCCTATCTATGGTATCTTGTTATGGGAGCCCATCCCAATGCAGCAACAAACACGAAGCCCTCAGTCCAGGAATGTTTGAAGTGCTTCACACGTGTTGACTCATCTTAGTGTGACATTCTATGAGGTACTTTTCCCAGCTCCGTGATACAGAGGAGGAAAGTGAGGCCCTGGGCAATTTTGTAATCTGCTTACAGTCACACAGCTAAAATGCGTCTGAGACAGGATTTGAACCTAGGCTATTTGAGTCTACATCTCATGCCTTAAGCACTTCTCCATCTTGACAAAATTAACAGAATAGTTAAAAAGGATGACATTTTGTAAAGACATGCTTTTTAGTTAGAAAAAGAGAGCAGATCATAACATAGCATATTATGCACAATTTCATTTTTTTTAAAAACTCAGTTATAAAAGTGTAATAGCTCTGTGTCGTTAGAGAAAATAATGGAAGGAAACAGGGGGACCCCATGTATTTCATGCACTAATTCAAGCAATAGCTCTTCTATGTGCCAGGCACCATGTGATAAGACAGAAAAGTAGACAAGCAAGGGTGCAAAGGGGTAGGGGAGACAGGCAACTGTCAGACCAATGGGCTGTTGTAATTCATGATAAGTGTTATGAAGTAAAAAAAAAAAAAAAAATTCAACGTGTAGTGGCAGAGGGAGGTATGGAAGATCTCCTTGAGGAGATGATATTTATGGCAAGACTGAAGAGCATGTGTGAGAGCTGAAGGGCTTGAGCCTGTTGGTGCCTTGGCTCCGGAGTCCACCACGGTGCCTGTTAGACAATAAGTACTCAGCCTAGAGATGCCACATGGGTTGGCTGTGATGAGAACTGCATTGAGAAGGGGGCTGGAAAGAAATGAGAACACACCATTAAACCCGTCACCGATCAGAATTCAACGTCACTTACTTGGTAGCTGGAATCTTTCCCATTTATTTCTTCCGAGTCGGTGATCCCTCCATCCCCTTTCACTGACTAAAATAACAAACAGATAATGGCCTTTCAGCTACCATAAGCACAGTGAGTGGGGGAATGCAAGGCAGGTCTGGAAATGACGATCTCACTAACTGATTACAGAGATTCAGGATCAAGACAAACCAAGATCCACTGGAAACATGGTGCTCATGAGATACACAGATCTCTATGCAATCCGTAACCACAGTCTTATCAAATACACGTGTTGGCCTCTGAAACTAACCATGTTGACAGTCCTAAACCCCAGGATTAAGTAATTCTGGGATAAATAAATGATGAAGAAAATGCTAATACTGGAAACAAGGGGTAACTGAACACATTGAATGAATAACAGAACAATCAAACCATCCATGGCCTTCCATTGGTAACCTGTGGGTGGTGGGCACTTGGATGTGTTGTTTTCCCTCCTAGTAGGCGAGGAGTTGTATTGAGCATTCCACTTCTGTCCTTTAGTGCCCTCTATGGCATCTGTGACAGGGCTGGATGGAGCTGAATTCAGTTTTGTCTCCTGAACCCCCATGTTCTAAGATCATGACTCCCAACGTGTGATTCTAGGACCAGAACTTCAGCATCACCCAGGAACTTGTTGGAAATGTGAATTCTTGAACCTCACTCCAGACCTGCTGAGGCAGGGACTCTGGGAGGCAGGCCTTAGCAAACTGTTCTGACAAAACCCTAAACTACCTTCCAGGTGGTTCAGAGGCGTACTCAATTTGAGCATCTTTACAGAGCTTGGCAGAGGGTGGAATCTTGAAACTTGGCTTCTTGATTGTTAACAATGGAAGAAGTGGGCTCTGGAAGTTACATATATTTCTCTTAGGGATATCACCAAAATTTTCAACCCAAAGGTAAATAAGAATCTGTCCTCCACATAAAATTTAGATTCCCTGGGGCCGGCATCATGGTGTAGAAGTAAAGCCACCACCTACAACTCAGGCATTCCACATGGGTACCTGATCAAGTTCTGGCTGCTCCACTTCCAATCCAGCACCATGCTAATGCACCTGGGAAAGCAGCAGAAGATGGCCCAAGTGTTTGAGTTCCTGCAACCAGGTGGCAGACCCGGATGTAGCTCCTGGCTTCTGGCTTTGGCCTAGCCCAGCCCTGGCCATTGCAGTAATTTGGGAAGTGAACCAGCAGATGGAAGATCTGTCTGTCTCTCTCTCTGTAACTCTGCCGTTGTAAATAAAATAAATCTTTAAAAAATTTAGACCGACTAACAAGGAAAGTGGGTGTTCCCCCTCTGCCTCCTGGGTTCTTCTCTTCTCTGTTTTTCTACAAGGGCCTGTCTTGCAATGGTGGGGAACATCTGGCTGCAGGCTGTGTAAGGCCCAGGAATTCATTTGGTCTGGCCCTGCCAAGGCAACTGTGGGTGGGGCTTGAAATTCAATAAATCTATGGCAGGCTAATATTTAAGTCAGTAATTTTGTGTGGCCCATGGATGATGTTAAAAATATCCAAATGGCCTTTGGAAGCAACTATGGTCCTCAGCCCTGGAAGATGGCATTGACTCTCTTGGCTATGGCTTTCCTCCCCATGGCCAGCTCTGGCAGGCGGCCCCTCACACCCAAAGCTTTTGACACTGGGATTTCATTGAGACTCTAGGATTTAAGCTGTGCCATAAGAGCCCTTCCTACTCCATAACACTCCGAAGTGTCCTTTAGGGTAATAACAACAAGAGTAAGAGCAAGGAAAAACTCAGTGGACATCTGGGCTCATGTAGCCCTCCCACTACCTTCTGGAAAATAAAGTTAGCTCTCTTACTCCCTAAGAGAGAGGGATTTTTAGCTTTCTGTTGGTGGTTTCAATTTGATATTATTAGATAATCAGCCAGTTTAAAGTTTCAGTTTGCATTCTTCTGCCTTCTTCCTTTGATAGCCCTGGAGGGGAATTTGGGTTGAATGGGAAGGAAGGCTGTGCTGGCAGCAATGGATCTCAACTGGCACCATGAAAACTTCAGGTTATCGGGGGATCACTGAAAGTTCAGCCCCTTAAACCAGCAGAGCGCATCCCAACTGTTCAGTGACTCTTTTTTCCTCTGTTCATTTTGAGGCATATAAAATGGTATGCATGCCAAAGTGACTGCATGCTGAGTTTACACTAAGCACATAATTAAGTCCATCTGAGGTTGCTTCCATAATAGCCCAACAGTTGTTATTACCAATAAGCCCTTTCCCGCCCTCCCTCTGTCCTTTCTCCCTTCCTCTCTTCCCTCCTTCCTTTTTTCCTCCTGTCCCTCTCTTCTTTCATTTTGCAGAGCTCTCTTCCAGAGAGAAATCAGGATAACCCATGCTGGGCTTTTGTAATTCAAAGGACCATAACCACAGAATCTTATTGTTCCCAGCTGTCAAAAATAGCAAACTTATGATCTAAAGAGACTGAAACTCCTTCAGAGACTACTACTTTGAAGAGCAGTTTGAAGACTATGAAGAAATTTCAGAGATTTTTCCAGTGTGATACTGAGCAACTTTCTTCCTGGAATTTATTTTTATTCATGAGCGTCAAAGGTGAAGCCTCTGGGGCTTTCAGCCTGTGGTCTGGAGGTGGATTCCAGTTGTGGCACCCAAGCCTTGTGTATTAGTGAGGTCACTTTTTAGGTTCTGCATTGTGTCATGCATTCCCGTAGCTGGATACTTACTCTGGGGACCATTTGAAGCATCTCCAATACCTATCACTTAGATATTCAAAATTCTAAGAGAAATGCTGGGTGATCTCTTGGAAGGAATATAAATGCATTTTGATGGCAACCCAATTCAACCAAAGCTGAGATGTAAAAAAGGGTTGGGGATGAAAGTTTCACAAAGTCTGAGTATTATCAGCAACGTTATTTATAGGTCAGCTCCGTAACAGCAAGTTCCCCTGGACATTTCCAAGATCAACAAAGGTCCTGTGTCCAAGCTTTATGTTTTACGAACAGGCCCACTTGAAATGGAATTTAACTGTTCAGACACAATTACCCCTCAGAGGTGAATTTTACGTTCATAACAAATATACTCAGAAAACCCAAGTCCACGTTTTACGTAAGCCATGACTGACTGTGATCTTTGTTTGCCTTGCTGTGATTTTAGGTAAGAGGGATGGATGGTCCCACACATAAACAGGATGCTTCTGCAGAAAACAAGACTAAGGAAATCACAAAGTGGAGTTTACATCTGCTCTACCTCCACACAATCTCAAAGAAAACCAGCTGCTGGAAGCACAAGAAGTAGCAACAACAGGGTGAGCTTCAGAGCCAACAATAACAGCGAAAAATCAGAGCTGGAATTCTGGCTCTGATACGGACACATCTCTTGTCCACTCTTGGATCTCAATGCCCTCATTCGCTTCCTAGGGTTTCCCCATCAATCAAGGAGGTGGTGCATGCAGTGTGCTCAGTGCCATGCCTGCCCGCTCATTCACACAGTGAATACGTGGTAGCAGTTACTGTTACTGCTGCCCCTAACCCAGAAGTGCCAGATGACTACCGAGCCCTTTGACTCGCAGAGAACACAAGGGTCAGGAATCCAAGTCCCTGGTGAAGACAGGCTCAGACAAATGCTTGTCAAACATGTTTCTTTAAAGATAAGTCAAAGTGAAAATCTTAATACTCAAGGAAGAATGTGACATCAAAAACTGTGGCTAGAAGATTCTTGCTTTTGGTTTTGCAGTTACCATCACAAACCCCTATCTTATTTCCTCCAGGCAGAACATTTCAGTAGGTTTAGTAAACTTACTCCACTGAATGTAATCAACAAAACCCTCTGATTTCATGGCTGTCTCCTCACTTGGGCCTTTCATTTGTCTAATATTCCTTTAAGTCTGAGGATGTTAATAGTGAGTCATGAAGAGGATTAAATGAAATAATGTGGAGAGAGTTTAAAGGAAGAAGACACTTTGCAAGGGCAAGGTGCTATTAATACTGATGAACTATAAATCTGTACCTGTATACTTCTATCTATCACCCTATGGTTTCATCTGCTTATACCTGGTTTGTAGATACATGAATACAGCTCTCTACCCACTCACTTCATAAAAATATACCAGCACTTCAAATATCCAAGTTCTTGACATCCAGTTGAATTAATATATGTAAGACTCTTTTTCTATTTAAGGATGACAGATGTCTTAGATATTCTTTGCCATTATTTTGAAGTCTTGTAGGAGCCCCAGGACTTTGGTGAAGTGGTCCATCTACATGAGCTGAATGCAATGTTAGGACTTACATAAATTTTCTTTTTTCCTTAAAATCAAGTTATTTGACAAATGACTTTCTATTTTTATATTTACAAGAGGTTAATTTCTAGAAAGAAAAAGATATCTTTAGAAATGAATTGGACAATGTATTTATTAAAAAAAATAACCAAGAGCTACTTGGTCAGGGATGCTAAGCTATGTTATCTTGGAGAAACCTGAGAGGCAAAGGCTAGAACAGAAAATCAATGATCTGATGAATGAAAAAGTTGAATACAGAAGTTTTACAATTGATTTTCTCTTCTATTAAATCAACTATTTGAAAAAAAAAAAAAAACCTCAGAGCTTGCTAACACAATTTAAAACGAATTTGAATTGAAACACTGGCTTATTTCGTTCAGGCTCACCCTCCCTCGCTCCCCACCAGCCCCTGCTCAAATCCTGCATGTCGGGCCAGATGCTGTCTCTATTTTCAATCCCTTAGAACAGATTCCTCCCACTGAATAAATCCAAAGTTTGGAAGCCATAAACTTGTTACCAAAAAGTGTCTTCTGAGAGTAACTTCAGGAGCCAGCCTCCAGGAATCTACCCACTGGAGACATGGACACCTATGCACAAATACAGGTGTGCAAAGATCTTCACGCAGCTTAGTGATTGAGATAATATATGTAGGACACTTGATGTCTGTTCACTGAATATGAGGATAGGCTTAAAATTAATGTCTGGTGTCTACGTTGGGTTTTATTTTCCCTGAGGGCAGAAACTGCAGTATTTATGCTCACTGCTGTATACCTGGAATGTAGTGCACACTCAATTATTATTTGTTGAATAAATGAATGAATGAAATACAAAATGTTATAAACAAAAAAAAGTCCACCCACAGAGCAATTAATCTGAGTATGATATCCAAACAATGTATTTCAAAGAAGTTATAAAGAATATGGTGACTATGAGGTTACAAACTCACACACCCACAGGAATAGGGCCAGTCATACAAATGAATCAGATGGGTTGGGTGTGCCAATAGGGAGTGTTGGGAATTTTTGGTAAACTGAAAACCCAGGTCCTTTGTGTATTTAAATTAATCACAATGAAAATATAATGTCTAATGAAAACAAAACAGAAAAAAAGAGGTAGGGATAATTGGGGTATCTGGGATACTAGGGAAATCCCAGCCATCATGCACGTTCTGGGGAAGAAGAGCAGAACACTAAAGTTCCCACGTGTAACCCTCTTCCTGGGCAGTGAGTAGTAAGAGCACATCACAAGACTTGACGCTCTGAGTGCCCTGAAGACTATTTGGGGAACTGTGTCCTCATCTACCTCCATCCCTATCCGATGGAGAATCAATCCCCAAGGATTCCTTAGTGTCAAATTTGTTCTCCTAACTGTCCAGGCTTACCCAGTTTCTGCTGCTGGAACATTTCCTGAAGCAACAGCTAACAGATAGTTCTGGGGGATAAAATTCAGTAATATGGGATCACATTTGAATTTAAGATTTGTTTTGGGTGGGTGCCATGAATAGTTTAGAGGTGTTTTCATGCTTTGGGTTTGTTGTATTTTTCCCTCATGTAGGTGGAGGAGCTATGTAAAAGGCAAAAGATTTATATGATCTGAAAAGAAACCAGAGTATTCTGAAGGAGCTATATGTAGGTTATTTGGAAGAGACTGTCACCCTATTTGCTATTACCATAGACATTATGATGAGCTATTTGATCATCTAGATGAGTTGCCAGAAATAGCCAACTGTTTTTTTCTTCCCTGGCATTGTGTAAACACTGGTTTAAAAGTCTCAAACTTTGGGGCAGGCCATATGGTGCAGTGGGTTAAGCTGCCACTTGGGATACCCACACTCCATATCGGATTGCCTGGCATCAAGTCCTACCTCTCATTCCAGTGCGGCTTCCTGCTAATACACACACTGGGAGGCAGCTGATGGCTCAAATATTTGGGTCCTTGCCACACACATGGGAGATCTTAGAGTTCTGGGCTCCTGGCTTCAACCTGCCCCAGCTCTGGCTGTTGCAGGCCTCTGGGAAGTGAACCACTGCATAGAACATCTCCCCCCACCCTCTTTTTTTCTTTCTCTCTTCTTCCCCTTCTCCCTTTCCTTCTCTGTCACTCTGTCTTTCAAATAAAAAAAAGAGAGAGAGAGAACTTCTAAAAGTGAAAAAAAGATTCTTTTTTAAGAAGTCTCAAACCTTGATCCCAGTTACAGCATGAAATCAGAGTGAATGGCCAGTAGTATGGATGTGGATTTGGGACATACTGGTTGCCTACTACCACTCCACACCTTTTTCTCCATCACTATCCAGCAAGAAAATAAAATTATTCCTGCCAACCGTTTCTAGCAGAATTATTTCTAATAGGCCCTAACTCCCACTGGCGAGGGCTTTTGCTGGGTTTTGTTCTGTTTCATTTTGTTTTATGGACCAGAAAGAATTCCTTAACAGGGTAGAGCCTATGAAATAAGAGAGTTGCATTCTCAAAGGCTTAACCTCTCAATACTCCCCAAAACACGAGCACACTATAATGAAATCCTTGTTTTTCATTAAAAGAGAATTAAACTGATGACCTTTTACATGGCTTTTTGTCTTTTGTCCTCCAGTTGATTTGGTTTTGTTGCTTTATATGACTCAAGTTTCTGGCTGTTTAAATATTTAATGTCCACGGTTTCATAGACACCAAAAGATGGCTATTCACATCCTTTCCATTCTATTTGAGCTAAAAGCACGACAAACTCACCAGCTAAGTGATAAACACATATTCATTATAGAACATTATTTGCTGCTTCCTTGTTTGAGTGATCTGCACATCAGTTTTGCCCAAATTAGTGTCATTCACAAGTCATCTTCAGAATTTTCACCACATCAATAAATAACTTGGACTATTTTTTCTTAATCCTTAAAAATGCCTTCTGTTCTTTATGTAAATAAATGTGTTTTCAAAGAAACCTTCATATCACTTCTGTAAGAGAAGCAGTAACGTTTGCCATTGTTTAAAATAAACACAATGAAAACAGAAACAGTAACTTCTAGGTAAATGCTGCTGTCTACCAAAATTCAGAGCAAACGCCTGCTCTTCCTTTATTATAAGGGAGTTAGTAGAGGTTAATGAATATCAGACATAAACAAATTCTCCCTATTATTGAAACTGAAGGGCACAAAGGACTTTTCTCCCTGCACCGCACACATCCCGCTCATGGTCTACTGGACCACCTGTAATCCTGTCTCGCACCAGCTGGGGTGTGAGGGCCCTGTGCTCAGGGCCGGGCTGGCTGCCGCATTTTCCTGCACTGGAAACAAGTGGCTTACCATTTGTCTGAGAAGCGCCATGAAGGAGGTTCTCGGTGCCTTCCTTTCTTCTCTTTTGGGTTTGACCTCTGCATCTTCAGGCGCACCCTCTTCTCCACTGAGATCCACTGCCGGCAAGGCTTCCTCCGACTCTGTTACCTCTACTGGTGCTTCACACACTACCTGGATCATTTTACCAGGTAATGAGAGAGTGAAAAAAAAAAAAAACATTCCCCTAAACATGTCTCATCAAGTGAGGTCCTGGCTACCCCAACCACGGGTGACTCCAAGGCCATTTCCACACAGGCATTATCTTGAAGAAGTAAACTCATATTGTCTAATGTGCTCCCAAATTGCCAATTTCTGAGCAATGGTTAATTAGGTTGATATGGAAGTGGAGAAATTTCTTCCCCATGAAGGCACAAGGCACAGACGGGAGGTCCCCTTGGGGTAACTGCTGTTCAGAGCATGCCAAAAGTCTTTCCATTCTAGAAAACCCACGTCTTCAGTCTCCACAAAAATAAAGCACATCAGGCCTGTGTCGCAGGCTGGAATAATCATTTCCTTAATGGTCCAACCTGAACACCCTGCCGTCCATGTTCCAGTTACCCTGTGGCTATGGGGAGACTGTCACATTGCAGAGGGGACAGTATAAAATCCACTCAAATTACTAACTTGATTTCCTCATTAACTCATTCCCCACCCCCCAACACTGATCTGGTATCCTTACCACTTAAGTTCATGCATTCAGAAGAAAAGTGAACTTTTCAAGAAAACTATGGCTAAGCTGTGATGGCCCCTGCAAAGCACCAGAGAGCCCAATACGCACTGACTGACTACGACAAACACAGGACAGGCAGCCGGGGGGCTTCCCCTGGAAGGTTCCATTCACTCCCATGTGATTCTAACTCTTGTCCTCCATCTGTGTAGCCCGATCACACCCACGGTGGTTTCTGCACCTGTATATTGGTCCCTGCAACGGGACAGTTAATTGGAGAGAAAGGTTTTACAATTTCTCTTTTGTTTGCTCAGGGAGGGGTTGGAAAAATGCCAGATCAAGCCCGGTGCCTGTTTCTATATGGCCTGAGTCAAGTCTGGTTTTTATACTTTTAAAGGATTACAAACTTTTTTTTTTTTTTTTTAAGACAGGAAGATATAGAACAGAGAGCAAAAATGGCCCACATGCCCTAAAATACTGAGTACCCTTCACAGAGCTAGCTTCCCACCTCCAGCCTCAGGGTACAGTTTGATCAAGGCAAAGACTTCCATGTATGTGTGTCTTTGACCCCAGCTCCCTTGGAGGCTTGCTCTAGAGTCAGTGGCAGGGGAAGGGGAATTATTTTTTTTTCCTAACTACACTTGTGAAGAAACCATTTCCCTTCCCTTCCATCATACAGAATATTCTACTGGTTTGCAAATGACTCACACTTTCCAAAATAAGAACACTCAATATTCCCATGGTCGGCAGACGCAGGGATAAATCAGGATACTATGAAGTGTGGCAACTAAATCACAGCGGGCCATCCCACCTGGCAGTCAAGCATTGGTGTGATCTCTGGCATTTCTCCTTTGTCAACCAAGGTCTAAACTGAGGAGTTAAAAGTCTTCTCTTCAAATCAGTGGAATCTGTTTTGTTTGTAAGGGCCTGGAGGGAGCATCACTGATGTGGTAACAAGGTCAGATTGTATGACAATAACTTTTAAAATCAATCTTATTTGAAGGTCAATATTTCCCTTCCTGGGCCTTTCCAAATGTTGAGAGGTGTCAAGTCATCAGTCCTGGACCACAAATCCATTCTCCAAAGCACAACTATTTCAGTGGATTTAAAACAGAAAAAATAGGAGGGAGGACTTAGGGCCTGCCATTACCTTTGAAGTCAGGCCAAGAAACTGGCTTTCAGTAGCCAAGGCAAATCCACTGACAAAAAAATTTGGGACTAAGTTGGATCAGATTTGCATACACAACATAAGCATTCAATTTTTACTTGGATAGTTTTCTGATTTCATTCCAGGCCAGGGCTTTGGAATAAGTCATTCCTATTTAGAGAATATGACTGTATCTGCACATTTTAATTTTGGGCATGATGGACATAATTAAAGTCAGATTTGTAATGCGTTTTCAAATTAAATCCCCTTGATTTAAGAAGATATGATGTACAGTACATGAAGATGCCTGGTATGTTTAACGCAGAAAATATGCATTTTAAAAATGCACTTTTTGCTTCAAATTTTACACTGTTCTTTCTTGTGAAATCTGGTTTATACAGGTTTTACTGGAGCTGTGAGTTATGGAGATCGATTTGTAGATACTGTCCACTTAAACTCCACCCACAATAATGTTGATAGTGAAGGGTTTTATTTCAGAATCTTTTTCAGATTATTTTGATTGGATTTATAATGTGATTATTTGTTAGGAAAATCTCATAGAGAGTTTTTTTCTGTATGATGATGACTCCCCCTCATCGGTTTATAGCATCTCAATTTTGCTTGGGGGAGCACTGTTCTCTAACTTTATGTGATTTAGATGCAGCCAGTGAAAAAGTCTAACTCAGTCAACACGGTCTAGCGCCTTGACCAGGCTCCCCCCGGAAAGGACAGTATGTAGCAGAACGTTTTATTTTCTCACTTCTTCACTTTACCTTCCTCTAAAGGAACTGCACACCCATTCCCATTGCTGTGTGGTGGCTTTAGTGAATGGAATGTGAGTAGATGTGAGGTCATTGACAGCTGAGCAGAAGCGGTAGGACCAATTGCAGGGTTCACCCCAAGGCACTGCAGGTGTTTTGTTTCTGCCACTGGATGCATGTTCACTCTAGATCTCAAGAAGACCCATGTGAACCAGCCATAGTCAACCTACAACTGACTTCAGAATGAGCGAGAAAAAGCCAAATATTTGCTGGTGAGAGGCCCTGAAATTGGGGACTTGGTTGTTACTGCAACAAGCCTGGCAAAAGGCGACTACTAGAGCGTGGGAGTGCATTTGATCCAATGAATGGGAAAAGAAGGCAGACATGCAGTGCTCCGACTGGACAAATAAATCCTTTCCTTCGGACTGGGTGGTGCAGGTTGGAAAGCAGAAAATGTAGCCAGCGAGGCCAGGTGGCTGAGGAAGGGGGAGCGTGAAAGAAGCTTTAGTTCAAACCAAGTTTACGTTCAAGAGATGAGAGCCAATGAATTCCATGTTCTTCTTAATCCAAGCCGAGTCAGGTTTCCTTTCACTTGGAACTGAGAGATTAGTAACAGAGATAAACAACAGAAGTGTCTGTTTCCTTGACCTTGTAGATCCTTGTGAAGGAATTCTTTTATTAGCTAGAGTATTAACTCAATCAATGGCCAAACTACTTTTATATGACCACTGAAGGATTCAATAAATTCTATAGCCAAGATAGGTTTTATTTCTGATCAGACCAGAAGCAGATTCTTGGAAAAGTGCTAAACATGCATAGATTTCCTTTTGGAAAGTTGTGGGTAGAGAAATTTTTCACGAATTAACTCAGCCATAATTTAGCCAGAAGCCATCACTGGTTAAAGCCCTCTCCTAAGACAGTGACTCATGTCTTATCACCCTGTTGTGAAGCCTTAGAGTACTGTACATTGCTTTGACTAATGCTGACATTTCTCATATTTAGTCTAAGGAGATTTAACTCTGTGTTACATATTCGTTCACTCCTTCATGGAGTCTGAGTCAGCTATGGGATACACAATTTCACCAGAAAATATCATCTCTGACAGCTGGGAAGCACCTACTTACTCTGTTATCTCCAACTCCCTACCAATTACTGCAGAGGGGGCAGCTTTTCCTGGCGCAGACCCTGCCAGATCCGCACCCTGTGCTGTAACTACTCCACACTACAGCCTTAGCCACAAACCCACATAGACGATGATGTAAAGGAATGAATGTGGCTGTGTTCTAATGAAAATTTATGGCCACTGAAATTTTATTTCATAAAATTTTCACATATTACCAAATACTATTTTTCTTCCAATGTCTTTTCAACCATCCCCAAATGTAAGAAGTCATTCTTAACCCATGGGCTGTGTGACAACAGGCGGTGTGCTGGCTTTGGCCCAGGAGCTGTACCCTGCTGATTCCTAAGTCACTGAGTTCTTTTTGCATTTCACTGAAGCAAGCACATTTCCCGAATCATCTCATTTAATTTCCAAAAGAACCATGATATGTAGGCATCAGCACCATTTAATAGATGAGTAGAGTGAGGACTAAGTGGTGACATGGCCTGGAGATGACAGAGTGAACATCGCAACTATTTAGCCTCATTTCCTCCAAAGATAAGCCATTAGGAGGTGGGATGTTGAATCTTAAAAACAGAAGTATAATTTGTAGGGCTAAGCAATTTAATGAATTCTTATAAGGCCCCTTTCTTTTCTTTGAAAATTATTTTGCCTTCTTTCATATCCCTGTCAGCTGTTATCTTTTGGTATCAATTATTTAACCTGTAGCTCATGTTTATTCCTGCTTTAAGTTTCACCCTAGAAAACGAAATCCCTTCTGTTTTCTTGTTAGAAATCAATGTTCACTTCAGCATTTGAGCTGCAGGAGATACAGTGTTCCTCAGATAAACAAGAACATGAACATCGAATGAGTTTCTCTCCAGAGAACTCGGAACCCCAAGGCAAACAGATGTTTGGGATTTATCTGTAGGTTGTAAGTTTAAAGTTCATGGGAAGAACATGCATGGAGTTCCTCCTTGTAGGCTGCTGAACTACAGACTTTGACTCTCTAGAAAACAGTCAGTACATTTCTGAGAAGTTTCTGGAATTATGAGAGACCTGAGCTTTGCTGAAGTCAGTATTTTTGTTGTTGTTGCTAATTTATTGTTTTTGAGTTTGGCTCAAGAAAGAAAGGAAGACGTGGAGGAAGGATGAGAAGAAGGAATGGAGGGAGTGAGGGAGGGATGGAAAGGAAGAAAAACAATAAACAGGAAAAACTGTTCAAATGTTCATTCCATGTCATGGGCAACATTTCTGGATCCTGTTTGGAATTTCAACATCTGTTCAGTTCCAGGAACTATACAAAAATGCAAATACACTCCCTCTCCCTGGCCAGTAAACAGGAGACATCCACAAGGAGCCAGACATATTTTGCTTTGGCAAAATGATCACATTTAGTTTCTATCTTAAGGAGCTGTGAATTCACTTAGCCCCACTTCTAAAATTTTCCAGACTGCACTTTTCAGGGCTGAGAACTGCTGCTGTGGGTCTGAAAGTCATGAGGCCCATGTACTCAGCCGCGGGAGGATGCTTTGGAGAGACACATTTTTGTGTTGCTTCATCCCTTCAGACACCATCTGACCATCACTCCGGAAGGTGAAAGGCCAGACAGGTGAGACTGCACTTACCCGTCAGGTGCAGACCCACAGAGCCAGCTCTCCGGCCTGAGACCCACAGTCAGCAGCAGTTCCTGCAAGATGCTGTCATGTCTGATGCAACTCCGTGGCCTAGGTCGTGCCCAAAGTTAGTAAGAAACTGGGTTGCCATGGAGATAAAGGTGAACCTGCAATCAGCGTAGAGTGGAGCAGAAGGCGTAGCAACCCTCATGGAAGCGCGAAGCTGTGCTTAGGTTGAGTAGACTCTTTCAGCCCTTAAATAACAAATTATGAAAATGGGTGCTCTAATTCTGCACTCATTGTGTATTGATTCTGTGGGAGCTACACAAGAGGCATTCCTGACAGGTTCCTAGTCACGGGAAGGGATGAAAGAGCCTACACCAGATGAACCACTGGGAGCATGCAAGATCTCAGCACCGCAGCGGCGGCCCCATACACCAAAGATGAGCATGGAATGATGCTGCATTCAATGTTCACTTACATTCTCCTCTGCACCTGTGGGGGCTGTGGGGCCTGAATCCTCTTTTACTGACTACAGGAAGATAAAAAACAAAAGTGAGAGTCAAGGTGTCATCCAAAAAAAGGTTACATCAAAGCAAAGGGTTAGCTGGGCTAGTAGCCCGGTGGTGCAATTCCTGTTTCTGGAATTTCTAATGTAGACCTTGTTCCAAAAAGAACTTAGGCAAATGAAATTAACATAGTGAGAGAATGTAACCGAGTTACAAAGCTTAACAGGCAACAAAGGGAAAACAAACATACAGACACAGCCAGGATACAAGGGAGCGAGGGGAAGGGAACATAACCCATTAAGTCTTGGTAGTGGCCGAGCAACACCCTTGCCTTGGCACTTTCTAGCAGCTGACGAAAGGGGGGAAGGTGATCACTCACTCAACCCACAGTCACTGCTAGATAAAAGCAAATGAGCTGCTCAAGAAGATTCTGGTAAGAAGTCCAGAGAAATTCCTTCCACAGTCCTTAGAGAGTACCCGGGCACTGTCACGCTGTGCATCGGGTCCTCAGCCTTATCCTAACCATAGCTCAGTGGCCAGCAGCAGAGGCTGTGTCTTTCATTGGCCCTCAGCCTGGCCACTTTCATCATGGCTACCACTGAGTTTAGGGAAGACACTTCTATGGAGGGCTGGAGAGCCGGAGGCCAAGTTCAAACTCGGTTTTACTGCCTGCGGAGTTCTGACTACGCAGTCTGCCCTGGTGGGAGAGCAGTTATCCCCGCTCTCTCAAATGTCTCAATCACCAATCACCGTCCAGCCAAGCTCTGACCTTGGGGTCACCTTTGTGTCTCTCCTTACTGGTTCTTAGGCACTTCCAGGGGTGGTGGTGATGGTGGCCACACAACACTTTGAGACTCACTAATGTGATGGATCTAGACTCTCGAAAAATGAGCATAAAATACTTTGTGAATAATTTCAGGGTGTTCATATATCTTCTGTAGCCCCTCTCTGGGGCTACAGATTTTAAAACTCTTTTTAAAAATCTTCCAGATTTAAAAACTCTTCCCTATATCGTTTTTGTTACCAAGCCCCATTTTTTTTTTTTTTTTACCTCTTTTAAGTCATTTAGTGGGAGAAGAGACATGATACTTATAAGTGAATTTTTCATATGAGGCACCTTGCATACATGATCCAGCTTAAAGTACCCCCAAATGTAAATTCTGTGGTCCTCATTTACACAATGTGAAACAGAGGGATGGCAGGGTGAAGTCATTTGTTTGGGGCAGCAGCAAGAAAGCGGTGGAAATGGTTCCAAGACCTGCAGGCTGACTTTAAGGATCGAAGCACATTTGTAGGTAGCCATGTGAACATCCTACTCCAGTACCAGGCTTGCTGTCTCTCCAGATAAGATCTTCAGCTTGAATCATTTATTTTTGTTCACCTTCCCATAATAAAGTTTCTCTGGGCACAACGCTTAAAAGGACTGTAGTATTTCTGGAAGCTTCTGATTGTCAGGAAAACATAGTGTATTCACTATGCTGCTATCTTGGAACTATATGTTCTCTCTGAGAACAGTCAGATGTTATACAATAGTATGAATAGGAAAAGAATCAAATGATGTTTTATTTATTTATTTATTTGACAGATAGAGTTAGACAGTGAGAGAGAGAGAGACAGAGAGAAAATCTTCCTTCCCTCGGTTTACTCCCCAAATGGCCACTACAGCCGGTGCTGCACCGATCCGAAGCCAGGAGCCAGGTGCTTCCTCCTGGTCTCCCACTTGGGCCATCCTCCACTGCCTTCCCGGGCCACAGCAGAAAGCTGGACTGGAAGAGGAGCAACCTGAACTAGAACCTGGTGCCCATATGGGATGCCAGCGCCGCAGGCGGAGGATTAACCAAGTGAGCCACGGCACCAGCCCCCTCAAATGATGTTTTAAAAGACAGACCTACTCAAGTCTGCTCCATTGAAGTTTCAGAAGTCAATCAATATGTGGTCTACATTCGACCACATTTATTTAAGAATAAAGCACATGTACTTTTCAAACCCTCTTCCTGCTCCAGTTGGCTGTAATGAGACTGTAATGAGTCTGTATTTTTCAATTTTCTTTGTCTCAGCAGTTCTTGGCTGCTGGTTGTTCACTGTATTCCAAAGTGATGGCAGTGAACAGAGGATCTACTTCTGAACACTGCTGCCCCCTGGATCTTTGTAGTGTGGTGGACTTCCAGATCTTGCAGGTGTTTGGAAAACTGGCACATCTTCTCATTCTTGATATTTTTCTTTAAACTGACTTTTTACTTAAATATATTGTAAAACAAAGCTTCTTGTCATTATTGTAAATGTAACACTGATACCCCTGCTGTAAATAGTACTCAAACAACTGCAATGAATAAAACAAATCCACGCATTAAGTTCCAATTATTTTACAGTCTTTGTTAAAAAGAGAGAAGCAAGTGTTAGTGTAGTGATAAATTCCTGCTAATATTGAGACTTTCCTCTTAGTGTCTCCAAAAGAATTGGAGTATAATAAAGAAAGGAAATAACATTGAACTGTGTAAATTATATGGTTTTTTAGGACTGTATTCAGGGACCACCCAGAATCATGTGGTTTTTTGCACATTTGCATACAAACCCTCAGGTATAAACTTCATGTCAGCAGCTGTTGAGATATTCAGTTAATATTCAGTTAATATAAGGATCCATAAGGGATAACAAGAACCCAGCTTCCAGCTCCTCTTTGGTGTTTGACTCATCTAGAAAATGGTCACTGGAGCCAGGTTCAAGTTCAGCATTCCAGCTGTGCAGACATGGACAAGTTCATTACCTGAGCCTGAGCTCACTCACCCAAGGTTAACTATTAGACTTTCTACCAGTCGTAGGATTTCCTTAAGGAATAGGTAAAATAAAGCGTGTGGGCTGAATCATGGCTGAAGCAGAACTGATACCCACTAAGGTCTAGTGGCTGGGCTCAAGCCACACAGGTCCTCTCGGTAGTCATATGAAGACCCTCACTTGCATAGCACTGAACAGCCTGGAAGATGTGGGCAGCACGGTGAGGAGAAATGAATTGGGCAGTGTCTTTAACTAAGCTCAACCTTTTTCAGGCTGATCTAGAAGTCAGGGTTTATGCAGTAGGACAGAAATAAAGATGTCAACAAGTGAACCCTAGAAACAGAATCCACCATTGGGAATCAGAACTCCAGGTGAACCAGCTCCTCCAGGGCTCGCATAGACCAGTGGGTCTGGGTACCAGCACGGCTTGGTTATGCTTGAAGTGGGTGTGTGCTGATGCTAAGAATGGGGCTTTTTAAATGGGATCACTCAGGGTGCAAACAGGATTCTCCTCTGGGGCTGAGCCTATGTTCCCTGCTTCTGTGAAAGCGGGAGATCTATGGCAGGCAAGTTCGGGAAGGGGCGGGGTACATTAGCATAGGTCATCTCCTTGGTGGCGGTAGTGTGGCTCAGGGGACATATGGCAGCCCCAACTGATTCACGATCGCCTATTCTGTATTCACAGAACTTCTAGGTAGAATAGGTAGAGGCAAAGATTAATTTATGTACGTTAGTCTCTGCAAATTGCTGATATTTACCTTGTATATGTACAGCATCTAGCAGAGCCTTCATAAGCTATGTGTTTAATTAATAGTAGCAATTTAAAATTTGTTAATGCTGTTTATTTATCTGAGGAGAGAGAATGAGAAAAAGAGAGAGAGAGTGAGCACACTCCTGTCTGCTGGTTCACTCTCCAAATGCCCACCGCAGTTCCTGTTTGGGGCCAAAGTTGGGAGCTGGGAACTCATCTAGATCCCCTACCAGGGTGGCAGGGGCCCAATTACTTGAGCCATCACTGCTACCTCCCAGGGTCTGCACCAGAGGAATTGGAGTCTGCTACTGAAGCTGGGTACGGAGCCCAGGTACTCCAATGTGGGATGCAGGTGTTTTGATTACTAGGCCAAAGGTCCACCCCTAGGGTGGCAATTTTTAGGAATGCTAAGAAGTGGTCTCTGCCAGGTTTGGCCTACTTCAGACCTTTTATTTTGATCATTTTTTTGTTGCTTTTAAAATGTCCTCAAGTCTGCTAAGGTCAGATGTGTGTTTGTTCCTGGGCTCCTTGTGAACAGACATTGTAAACACTACTTACAAGGTGTATGCTCTTCTCTGGAATTGGATAGGGAATAACATGGATTTCAGTTAAAATCTTTGTGACTCCTTATAATATGGTGGCACACTGACCTTTGTAACAGGAAACTTCTAGGTCATACTGACCTCAGCTCCTTGTGCCAATATTTTGAGAACACTGTCATTTATGAGACATTGGAGTTCCTGAGTCATTTGGGCTGCATTAGTGAATGTACCTAGTTTGCCAACTTGATAGGTGTGATTTTAGGACATTGTCCAAGTTACTGAAACAAAGTTTGAATAAACAGGGCTAGCATCAGATTCCAGAAGCCCTTCTAAGAAGAGCTTCTTGCCATGGGCTTTGTTCCTTTAAAAATATCCTTTCTTGGCTTGCATCCCTCCATGTTATCAGCATGCATTAGATGCCACAGTAGAGAACAAAATAAAAAAATAGTGAAACCAAAAAAGATAATAATAATAATAGCAACCCACATTGTTGGGCTCCGCGCTAGGCAGTGGGTTACAAGCTTAACGTGAATATTTCAAGTCAGTGCTCCAAGCAGAGCTCTCTTCACTTCCAGGCTCTGCTCAGTGTCTAACAAACCTTCGCTCCTATTCCAAAGTCATCTTTCCCTTTGAGGTTGGAGGTGTGGCGCTGCTTTCCTGGAAAGCTGACTGATGTATTACAGCTCCCCCAGTGAGCCAGGTCTTTGAGCCAAAGCTGCGTCCCAGGGTTAACCTGTGTTTGTAGCCAGCATGGTTTCCATGCTCAGAACACAGCGACAAATGAAGGCCTCAGGCAACTTCCTCTCCCTGTGCTCAGTGTTGCCTCCCACACAGCAGACAGCCGGGAGTACCCGAATCCAGACCACTGTTTCCATGGGTGGACAGCGTCTGAAAGGTGGAAAGATGATCTGACTTCCACACGGGGCGTGTGTTTGGGATGGGGATTGACACCAAGGAG